CCACTGGCTTTGGGGGAATCAACTCCGGGCCCAACGAGCCCGATCCAAGGCGCTGTGCGTAGTTGGAGAGCAGTCGCTCTGTTGGAAACCGCCTGCTCATGGAGTACGCCATATGAGCCGATTGGCCTGGGAGACGGCAGAACAACCCATGCAACAGTAGAAGCGAACAAGAGGAAGGACCCGAAGATTGGGGGTTGACCACTGATTGGGGTTGACGAATGCAGTACTTATAGTCGTGTAAATGCTTGTGATGCATCAGCTTTTCAGTTCTGCTTACACTGCAATTTGGAAATCACAGTTGCAAGCCAAAATATGTTTTCTTATATTCCGCTAGCCGGTAGAATATATATACCTATAAATTAATAAATTATCCTCTTTCTCTATGTATATATATATATGTATATGTGACTATATGTGTGTGTGTGTGTTCTATTCTATTCGTTCATTCAAAAAGGACGCCTTGCAGTGGACAAAGAATCAATCCCCCAAAAGGGCATGGACTATTTGGCCTCATCCAACGGGCCGACGCTCGCCGACGCTGATCCCCAGCCCGACCCGCTGGAAGTGTGAGTTCGTTGGGCACGGCACATCCCTCACCCTTCAGAACTTGAGGAGTGGGTGGCCTGACTGAAAGTTCAAGTTCAAACGGCGCCTGCCAGCACTTACAGAACTGTAGGAAGCCAACCCTGATGGAAAAATCCTGGACTACGTTGCCACGCGTTGACTCGGGAGGTTGTGCAAGCCGCGCGGAGATCTTCAGTATGTTTAGTAGACTAGTAGTCTCCTTCAGAACCCCCTAACCATCTTCAACCGGTCCCAAAACCTGACTGCATCCTGCATCAAACACTCCGAAAAGAAACCAACAGGAAGTCCACATCATCCACTGCTCACCCTGTTCCCAGGTCACCCTGAGAACCGCTCGGAGAACCGGCCCTCTTCTCCCATCACCGACGTCACCGTCCCGGTCCGCAAGCGAGGTGCACAGGTTTGGGTCGACTAAGCCGGTGATCTGCCGCTGCTCTCGATGCTCCACCCTCGCGGAGAAGGGCGGCAGCGGGTCGCGGACCCGGGTCGGTGGAGAGCGGCAGAGGAGCCATAGGGGTTGCCTGCCATGTGTTGTGTATTTGTTGGTCCTCCTGTTCTGTGCATGTCTTTGCTCTATATTTTGGGGAAGGTGGTGGAAGGTTCATATTCTATGTTGAACAAACCGGTTCTTCCGAAGCATGTCTAAAGAAGGGTTGTAGCAGTCGGATCTATGACAAGTTGTTCCTTGAATATCTTGAATGTACATGTTTACAACGCTGGGAAGTCTGCTTTCGAGTGGATCGGCTAGCACATGCTAGCACTACAGATCACTATAGCAAGAATATGCCAAAGAGATCCAAATCCAAACACTCCATGGGACTGCCATATATGCCGATCAATTGACCCCCAAAACCACCCCAATTGATCGGCATATATGGCAGTCCCATGGGTCGTGTCTGAGACTCTCAGAGTGTTCCGCGGAAGTGATGTCCATCCCGAATGCGGGATGCAAGGGACGCATGGGGTGTGTAGTCGAGGTGACTGGACTGTCTCAAAGAAGCGCAAGCTTCTCTCTGGAAGAGCCCAACATGCAGCTCCCCCAGCCCCCAACCGGAATCTGGACTCTGGAATGGTCACCACTCCTTCCAAAAAGGATGTCTCACCTCCGGAATCCACCAAAAGCAAAAGACGCTTCCGGTTCTTTCGTCGCCTCTGAGTGCCATCACGCTGAAGCTGGCGGCCTTTGGGGAAGACGTAGGCTGCGAAGGCGGTCTTTGAAAAGTTGCCTGCCGTCTGTTTCGGCCGCCCATGCCACGCGGTCCGGGGGGTTCGGGGTGCCATCTCCGATCCAAGCAATTGGAAGAGCTGGGAGGATCGACTCCGAGCTTGGGCAATTCTCGGTTCCAAGAACAAACCCCGGGTTCAAAGCGTTTTGAAATATCTTGAGTTCTGCAATAGTCAAGATTGTCCAGCTCAACTTCTAAACCAATTGGTCCACCTGTCCCATGATTTCGAGCGAATCTCACCACCAGAAACTCTGGAGAGATCTTGATAGATGGCGAGTATGATGGCCGAGTATGGCAGAAAGTGAGCCCGGCCAAAGGAATCCCATGTCCAGAAACAATGTGGCCCCTTGAGCACAAAACTAGCCCTGAAGCACCCAACTTGACTGAACATGCTTGCTATACTGCGAGGATGTTTTGAGCTGCCTGAGGCTAAGGTTATAAAAAACTTTCATATGGTAAGGCCAGAATCCGTGATTTAAAACAAGACAAAAAGTCAAAAAAAAGTCAGCTGGAAAAGTCAAAGTCAAAGAAAAGTCAAATTGAAAAGTCAAAAACAGTCAAAAAAAAAGTTTAAAAAAAAACAAAAAGTCGAAAAACAACAACAGTCAAAAAAAAACATGCGAAAAAAATGTCAAAACAATCGGATCTGGGCAAATCGACTTGTTTGACTTTCTGAAATTTCCTGATTTGATTCTTTTTTGACTTTGACTTTTGGGATTGACTTTTGTTGACGTGTTTTTGACTTTTTACTTTAGAAAACAGGCTCTTTCCAATGAAAGTTTTCTTTTTTTTTAAGAAAATAAGGCTAGCAACGAACAAAAACCACCCACCACCCACAAGAATCTCATCTCTTGCACCTCTTTGCGTACAGTATTTACATAATAATATGTACCTCTGTACCTCTACCATCAGGTCACCTCCTGGCAAATAATGCTACATGAGTCTGCATGGTCACCACTGCCACCCCGAATGGACTCAAAAGGAAATCGAAGGCGACCTTGGGGGTGCTCATGATCGAGGTTCAACTGGGTTCTCTGCTTAGTGCTCAACCCCACCAGTGATCACGTAGTAAGAACCAAGCAGCCCTGCCTCCAAAGCTGCTGCCTCGTTGGTGTTCGCGGGGAAAGCGCGCAGAGTTCGCCAAGCAAAGGGGTGGAGAAATTGGATTGAACAAACAGCTGCTTGTAGTTTTGAGATTTTTCGAGTCTTCCTTGGTCTAGAGGCATTTTATCAGAGCAAACGGAAATGGAAGAGCGCCTTTGCCGAAGGACACCCCAAGTCTTTTGTGAATGTTCTGTTGTAGGCGTGCCTCAGAATATGAACACAAGAAACGTCTTGTGCTTTCGAATGGCGTTGTTGCCTGCAGATTCTATAGCAGGGGTCTGTGCTACTGAAATGCACTCCTAAGGCAGCGCGATTGCAGAATATATAATTAGCAGTCCGAGGTCTCAACCACCAAATCACAAATGTTTTTGCGTGGTGGTCTACGGTGGGTCCGATTGATTTGCCAGGATCGGATGGGACCATGAGCAGCGAACCACGGCGGACGCTCCGGCGGATGCTCCAACAAGGCCAATGGCATGGCAGTCTGGGGAAACTAACTTGTGTCTGATTGTGTCTGAAAGCAACGTCAGCCGGTTGCAGGAGAAACAAATCAATCACATTCATGCATCTACACAGAATAAGTCGTGTGGTAGTCAATTACTTCTACGCCGCCAAACTGCTTCAATCCAACAAAGCCTGGAGTTTGTCATCTAGCCCAGCTTGTCCAGGGGCCGAATGAAGTCGCAAACACCAGAATCAGAATCCTCTGCGGTCCCTCTGCCCCTCCAAAACGCTCCGAAACCTCGCGCAAGGCCGCTCGTGCCTCCCGGGGGCTTCTGCTCCGTGAAGACCGAGGCGATCACCATCGGCGCCGCGCCCGCGCCCAGAGGGGGCGCTCGCGGCTCCGACAGCTGCGAGGGGAGGTCAAACAGCGGCGGATTGGGCGGCGTTTGCTGCGTGGGCGTTGCTGTTGGGAGCCGGACATCAAGAAGCTAGCGCAAATTGGACATGCAAATGGTACATGACATTAAACGTCAATATGATTCAATACGTCAAGATCTTGCAATTTCTACACCGGGGTGAAAGTTGTTGGCGCAACTTAAAAAAAATAGCGGGAACAGCCGCGCCATGTAACTCCTTTTTCTCGCTATTTGGCCGTCATAGATGGCGCAACTGGTCTTTGGATTGCAGAAAATTAAAATTCTGCGGGGTGTCTGTGCGGATACTAGTTTTCCCTATTTCCCAAAAAACGTTTGGGGCCTATAGATGGCCCAATGGCCAAGTTCTGTACATTTGACCTTTGAGCAAAAATGTGTGGCCCGGTACCAATAGTGATTTCCTCATATTTCTTCTTGATTTCCTCTTGCCTCTTGAACTTATTCGTTTCCTTTTGATGTCCTTTTGCGGTGGGGCAATAGATGGAGCGGTCCCAATCTCCGCCATTTTCTGCAAAATAGTGCACAACATCATGCAGAATCTTCCTGTTTTTTTAGCCACGGGGCGCATAGATGGCGCAACACACCTGAATGCCCCTGATACCTAAACCTGGCGCAATTAAAAAAGTCACCTCATCTATTTTCACCCCGGAGTATCTGCCACGCCAGCGAGTGGCTGACCCCTAATCGTCCTTTGAGTCCTGTTTATGTGCAGCCTGACTGTGCTACAAATATGTGCAGAACTTGGACTGGAAGGGCCGTTGGTTTTGCTTTGTTCCCACACCTATTGGATGCAAATGGATGCAACTAAGACGTTTCCAAAGACGACCATATTTGCCGTCATTTCGTTCAAGGTCCATGGAAATACCAATGTCCTTCACATGGTTGCTATGTTGGTCGTGCTGGTGCTGGGGAAGTCGAATGGAACATCAAATAAGTCTGACCGGAGACACTGGACAGCATTCCCCTTTGGATATATTTACAGAAACTCCCAGATGGAATTCTGCAGATTCTAGGACTCCATGACCCCATCACAATCCATCACCAGTCCCGGGTCCGCCCTCCCGGGACGCCGCCCTTCGACGAAATCGGGACTGGATGTGTGCGGGTTCCTGGATCTGTGACAAACCGTCTTGGAAATTCCACTCTTGGCAGTGTAGATTCTGGCCATTTAGACCCCAGTCAGACTGCAGCCACTGGGTTACCAGGCGATGGCTGTGCCCGCTCCTCGGTGCGACAAAGGTCGACACGACATCATGCTTTGATACTTTGCCATACTCTTCCAACAATTCCCCGCAAGAAAAGGATATCATGTGAAGCAACCCTAGTTGATGAATGCAAGACCAATGCAAAAACTCAAGGACTAAATCATGTACTATAGACGATCCAGGAGCCCTGGATCCATCTATATAAAATACACCTATATCTGGCCACTTGGTTTATTTTGGAAATGCATGCTGTTGTTGTTATTCTGTTTCGCTGTTACATTATTGCATATTATTTCTATGGAGGAACTGAGCAGGCTGTAGTGACTTATTATACAAGTCGCAACTGGGATCGGCTGGGTAACATTTGAGCATCAACAGCACCTGTTTTCCTCACGAGTGCCTCCACCCGGCAATTTATATAATCCTTTAGAACAGACCAGTGGACCCAAAAATCACCTCAGCCCGTGGGATTTCCACCCCCAGGTCCAACCAGTGCTTCTTTCTTTTCCTCCAAACGCGGATCGGGCGAGGTGCACCCCTCGCATCTGTCCGGGTGCGCCCCGTGACTCGCCGTGGCGGCTCCGCCTAGGCAGCGCAGGTCTCTGGTCTCAAGAAGGACTCGTTGAAAGCACTGCAATTCAAGAGCTCCCTTCCCGGTGGCACGCCATCACTTCCCAGCAAGAGCCCGTCGTTCACCACGTGGCGTCCGTAGTGCTCCTGGGTCGCAGGTTCAGCAAACCCTCGTGATCCAAAAGCGGATCTCCCGGAGGGAGACTCGGTTGAAGAAGTTCCATGCCCAAAATTGCATTGAATGGCTCCCTTTTTTTTGGGGGGGGGGGCAGAAACAGACTGACTGGAATCAAAATCTTTGGACTTTGGAGGTCCCGATTTCGAGAGCTTCCCTTACTTCCTTCATCTGGGGGCCTCTTTGGATTTTCACTCTGCATGGAGATCTGCTAAACCAGCTCAACCAGGTCTCCAGCAACTTATTCAGCACGGGCAGCGTCAAGAGCGTCAGGACGCTCAAGGCCAAAACGTGGCTCTTAGCCGCAAAGCGCAGGTGAAAGACACAAATGCAAGCGTCGCGCCGGCCGGTGTCGATGTTGTGTTGCAAATAGCCTGGGCGAAAACCCAGTGGCGAGCTCGTGGAGTGTCGGTTCATGTTCTGAGTTCTGAGGGGAGTGTCACACATATTAGGTCATACCAGCAAGTTATTCCTTGCACCCCCCGGTTCATGTTTATATAGAGGGAGAGATCCAAGTGACATAAAGGATGAAAAAGGACGTCCACTCTATTTCATATCTTGTTCTAAATCTAAGGACCTCCAAAGCCCTTAGCGGGGATTCTGGCCCAGTTCCAAAGTGGTGCTGGTAAAAGTAGATGCTTTGATGTAGTATATATTATACGCTAGAAATGCCCATAGATAAAAACGCTAACTTACATTTATATACATCGTTCAACGTGTGCATAATATATTACGATATATATAATTCCTAAGACACTTCCTAAGACTTAAGAAACTATCAGAAACTAACACATACAGTAAATGCGGTAAATGGTATCCTGTGTGTCCAATGGTCATCCCAGCAACGGAACCAATCCTCAGCATGCTGACGTTGCATCACCACTTCGAGTTGAAGCTTGGTGCTGTGCCCCCAGTGCTCAGCCCAATTGCGGGGCAACAAGTCCATCACCGTGTTGTGCAGCTTTTCCTAGAACGCACCGAGCGAATAATGACTCCCCCAGTTTCCCTTGAAAATCAGCAGACTCTCTACCTGTTCTTGTTTTGTGGGGTGTCCCCAATCCCCCTCAAACAAATTGGTTACAAACATGGCCGTTTGACCTCTATACCTTTCTGCCAAAACCGGACCCCGAACCCGAAAGACCTGCTACAAGGATGCTTTGCAGGTTCTCGTACTTGCTGGGTGGGAATTGTTCCTGTGAGTCCAAAAAAGGGCATCTCCCCGCTGTGAAACGAAAGACACGCAACAACATGGTTGCACACGTTTGGCTCAAGAAAAAGACAGAGCGGCACGGCTCGCATGGGTTATGAGCCCAAGGTAGAAAGACCACCCTAGCAAAGCTAGGTTGCTGGCCGCCATGGATTTGAGAAGAAGGCGCTCGCAATCCAAAGGGCGAGAGCCGACAGCAGATGAAAGGTTGGACGCTTTGCTAGAAGAAGCCAGAGCATCCGGGACTCCAAAAGAACCCGTTCGACGAGCACAAAGCCTAGAGCCTAGTCGGATGTTGACGCCCTCGTTGAGGAAGACCTCATCGGCGTTGACCGCTGGTGCCTCGAGAGAACGACCTGCACCTGAAGAAGTTCGAGCGATCGAGAATCGAGAACGTGAAGTCCCTACAGAACCTCAAGGGCAGCCGATGAGCTTCTGGCCGGTGGTTCCTCCTCTTCCTACTGGGGCACTACCTCCTCCTGTACCTGGACACCATGTTGGCGGACAAGTCGGAGGGCACGAAGGTGGTGGTGGGGCACCGAGCTTGCTGCAGCCAGCCCAGGAGCAAGCCTGGGGGATGTTGGCGGGCCTGGGAACGCCTCTGCCGGGGACGTGGGAAGCCAATCACAAATGCCGATCTTGCCGGGGCCACGAGAAGCTGGTGGGCCTATGAAGGGAACCACTAGGGATGCAGAACAGATATCTAGCGGTCGACTAGCGGGACAAGATCATCTACCAGAACGAACGGTTGGTGAAGATATGAAGGGTTCCGTGAAGAGTTCACCGGTGAATCCATGGACGGCTGAGAAACTTCGTGAACTACATGACCAAGCCCAAGGCAGTCGTGGAGTACCTGATCCCGTGGAACTACTTCGTGCTAAATGTCTTCAAGAAGCGGAGGTTAGGTTTCAAGAAGAAATGCAAAAGTTGGGTCAGCCGAGCTCGAACTCGTCTTTCCAGTCCGCAGTGGAAGCTCCTGGAGGTAAAGTTCAAGGTGGTGGAGAAGGGCAGACCACGAAACAGGTGACGGCGCCGATCGTGAATGTGGGACCTATGGCTCCGGGTGCAACACCTGTGGCCTACCCATGGCCTTATCCTCCTGGTCTACCTGGACAACTTCCGTGGGGTAATGGAGTGTGCGGCATTTTTCCAAATGGTGTTGCTGGACCATCTACATCGCCAAATGCATGGGTGGCGCCAGAGGAATCGCTGGGTGATCAAACCCGGTCAGTGGAATTGCCGGTGTTGGGCCTCGAAGCAACATCGCTGGCGTTTGGTGACTGGCTTACGACGCTGGAGCCGATTGTGTCGGAGATCAGCCCGGGAGCGAGTCAGTGGTGGCAGTTGACCTTGAAGAGCGTGTCCAAGGCCTATGAGGAATGGCTGACGGCGGATCCGCTCCAACGACTTCGTCTGGGTCCTGTCTGTTTGGAAGAGGCGAACAAATGGCCTCGTACGGAACGCAAAATGTTGAGCCTGTTGTTGCAGGTTGTGCCTGAGAACGTCAAGAATGAGGTCGTGACGACTAGGAAGATGACGGTCGCTCAGGTGTTGTTCATCCTCTACGTGAAGTTTCAACCTGGAGGACAAAGTGAACGGATGAGCCTAATCCGAAATCTGACGGAGCTCAAGCTGACCAACAACATGCTGGAGGTCGCCCAGGGCATCCGCACATGGAGGAGGTGGTGGAGCCGTTCGGAAGAACTGGGAGTGATGCTTCCAGACCCTGTGGTATTGGCAGGGGTGTTGGTGAAGGCTTCAGATCACATGGCGAAGTCTGGGGCGCAAGTGGCATACCGATTGGCAACCAGTCGGCAGCAGTTGTTGGTGGACACTCGTCCAACTCTTGAGAATGTCAAGATCTTCGCGGAGCACCTACAGGCCGAGGCTGAGGAATTGTCGATGGGCGCTGGAAATGGTGGAGGGAAGGGATTATCACTGAAGGCAGTGGCGGTCCAACCTACATCAGGTACTTCGACTACGACCTCGACGGGGACAACTGGAGGTGAACTTCGGGAAGGCGGTGCCGGCGATAAAGATACCTGCAGGTTTTGGATGACCGAAAAAGGGTGTCGTCGTGGTGACCGTTGCAAATTCAAGCATTGCAGGTTGAGTCCAAAGGAAAATCGGTGCTTCAACTGCTCAGGCCTGAACCACAGCAAGACGTCGTGCCCGTTCCTGAAGAAAGAGGGAAAGGGGGAGGAAAACGTCAAGGTGGCGAAGGTGAAGGGAGGAAGCGCGGGTGGTAGTCCGGAAAAGACGGACGCTGGTGGTGCTGGGGGAGAGGAAACCAATGTTTCAGCTTCATCCGGGACAAGAACATCGATGGAGGAAGTGCCTACTGGGGGAAAAGGAAAGCCTGGTGGTGGTGCTCCCCATGGAGAAGAGACTATGACTTCTGTGGGCGGCTTGGTGGAGGAGGCCTCGGCTTTGTTGAAGTCCCTCCAAAGGGCACGACTCATGGCGGTTCAATGTAAATCGTTGGAGCCTTCGTCTATTGTTGATGAGGGAATGGTTGACAAGGTTGGCCTGTTGGACGGTGGGGCAACACATCCACTACGACATGGGTCTCGCAAAGAGATTGAAGAGGCGGAAGAGGTCCCGGTGGATCTGGCACATGGACGGGTGTGGCTTCGACAACATCCGGTGACGGGGACCATTTTGGTGGATGGGCATATTGAACCTATCGTTCCAGTGAGGGGGCTGATCGATCTTGGCTATAAACTACAATGGAGCCGCAGTGGATGTGTGGTGGTGCACCCCAAACGGGGAAAGATCTCTTCATGGCTGCGGGATGGCTGTCCTGTGGTGGCTGAGGAGGATGCTTTGGCCCTCATCGCGGACATTGAGAATGCCGAGCGGAAGAAAGTGGAGGACTTGAACCAAGAGGAGAATCTGGATGGGGACATCATGATGTGGTGGCAGAAGCGTTTCCCGCAAGTCCCAAGCCGAGTGTTTCGCTACATGTCGGAAGCTCCAGACAACTCATCAAGTCCATTGCCGTGGAACAGAAGTGTGAGAAGACGACTGCAACAGTCAAAAAAGATCCTACTTCACCTCTATGCAG